CCGAAGTGCACCAGTTCGAGTTGCCACGTTCCAAATAGCACACAAAGGTAGACAAGAAAATAAGTGAAGAGAATCAATAGAGTTTTGACAAGTATAAGAGTGAAACACAATGAGTAATGGTAGAAAGGGGTATGAAGGTTAAAGAGACTGAATACATCTGCGCCATTGACAACGATTTTGAGCCATGTCACCTAGTGTCTCCAGCCATTGATTCTGAGAGTCCCGAGGGCCCCAACCCGGAAGTCTACATCTCCCTAACTGACTCAGTTTAACTGTCAAGGATTTCATGGACTGATGCCATGTTTTTGTTTGGCCACCACTTACTCTTTTCCAACCTGCACCTATATCAGCTAGTAATGCCCGTCGGGGGAGACGATGCTTAGGCATGCGCAGCACGTGGCCTAACCATCTCAATCTATGTAACTTTATAGCCTCTTCGAGTGATTTTCCCTCTTTGCCCAACACTCTACGCCTAACGTCAACATTACTTACCTTATTATACCACCTAACGTGAGAAAGAGATTGTAAATATCTGTGGTCAAAAACAGACAACCTTTTCATGTCTTCAACTCATATTGGCCATGTTTCAGAGCCATAGAGAAGGAATGAGCGAACTGCTGAGCAGTACACACGTCCCTTGGTTGATAGTCAGATGTCACACCTACGCCAGAGACGGTGTAAGTTAGCGAAAGCAGCCCGAGCTTTTTGGATCCGTGCTGTGATTTCGTCACCAATCAATCCGTTGGTGCTGATACAACTTCCCAAATAGGTGAAGTGGTCAGCATGTTCTATCACTTCACTCCCTATCACTAAGCTAGGAGTTGACGTAGTCCAGTCCTGTAGCAGCATCTTACATTTTACAGGGACGAATCGCATGCCAAACATACGACGATTGCTGCTCAAGGTGTTCAGAAGACTCTGCATTTTGTCAGCGTCCTCCCCTAACAGGACTATGTCGTCTGCGTATTCTAAGTCTATAAGACTATTCCCTGGTAACAAGTCGATTCCTAAGTCATTAAGTTCAGTTAAGGATACTTCCATTAGCATATCTATGATGAAGTTAAACAGAAAAGGGGAAAGTGGACATCCTTGACGGACACCACTGGTTTCTTGATTATCCTGATTATGTGTCAATCATTGCAATTTACACTAAGCAGCTTATTATGTCTCTATTTTTTTTTTTTGATTACAGCTTGATTCCACACCGTATTTTTTGGTACAGGTATGGAATTTTCACCATGTGGTATTGGTAGCCCAAATTTTCCAGGCCGACCATAGATATCAGGTGTGCGTCGGCAGGGGATCGAACTCCGGACCATGTGCATGGTCGGCGAGAGTCCTAACCACTGTGCCACCGACACACATAAGGAGTGGATGCATCTGCGCCAGCCATCGAGAACGATTTCGAGCTATATCACCGATTGTCTCCAGCCACTGGTTTTTACCGTCCCGAGGACCCCAACCAGTCAGGCAGTCTACACCTCCCTACGTGGCTTAAGCTAACTGTTGTGGATTGCATTGACTGATGAGGCCATGTTTTGGTTCGACCACCGCTGACTCTTTTCCAATCGGATCCATCCTATGTTAGCTAACACTGCCCCTCGAGGGAGGCGATGGCTAGGCACGCGTAACACATGTCCTACCCATCTCTCTCAGTCGATATAGCTTCACAATCTCGACAACTGATTTCCCCCAGCCTTACCAAGCACTCGGCCTCAATATCGCTCACCCTATTATACCATTTCACACGGGAAATAGGACGCAGGCACCTATAATCAAAGACAGCTAGCCTTTCTATGTCCTCCACTCTCAATGGCCAGGTCTCACAGCCATAAAGGAGGACGGAGTGGACTGCTGAGCAGTACACACGCCTTCGGTGGGTAGCCAGCCAGATGTCACGTCTACTAAGCCAGAGACGGCGTAAACTGGCATATGCGAAACGAGCCTTCTGTATCCGTGCTGAGATTTCGTCAGTGATCAGTCCGATGGCATTGGCTGATGCAACTTCCCAAATAAGTGAAGCGGTCAGCGCGCTTCACCACTTCACCCCCCATTTCTAAGCTAGGAGTCAATGTAGTCCAGTCCTGTAGCCTCACCATCTTACATTTGACAAAGGGGGCAAATTGCATGCCAAACATTCTTAGATTGCAGCTCAAGGTGTTCAGAAGACCCTGTCTGCATTTTGTCAGCGTCCTCGCCTAGAAGGACTATATCGTCCGCATATTCTAAGTCAACAAGATTATTCCCTTCCTGGTAACAAGTCAATCCCTGAGTCACTGAAGTGAGTTAGGGTTAAGTCCATTAGTACATCTATGATGAAATTGAATAGAAATGGGGATAGTGGGCATCCCTGTCGGACACCACTTCAGATGACAATTCGGCGTAAGCCCTCACCTGGCTGCATGAGTTCGAGTAGAGTGCCTTGATCAGTGCAATGTATTTGTCGGCATTACCATTACAGTCAAGCATAGCCAGAGTACCTCTCCGTTGACAGAATCGAATGCCGCCTTTAGGTGAAGATATATAACGGTTGTTGGACGCCGACGGTAAGTGTGCCTATGTTCCAAATTCTTTCAAAGGGTGAAGATATAATCAATACACCCTCTTCTTGGTCTAAAGCCTGCATGGTTCTCTCGTCTTTGTTCCACCTGAGCACCGCTTAGCCTAAGCATTATTATTGAACTTAGAACTTCAGATACCTACCACATTAGTCAAGCTAATCCCCCCTGTGATTATCACAGGAAGACTTGTGTCCCTTCTTGTATATCGGGATAATCAGTGACTTACACCAACCTGGCACTCCCTCTGATTCCCAGTACCTTAGTTAGCGCCATCCTTAAACACCTCCGGAGTCATTCCATCGGATCTCGCAGCTTTGCCTCGTTTCAGCGTTTCTCAGACAATTTGGAGCTGGCCATTATTTCATTCGTAGTGTCGTTTAGTGTTTGTGTTACCTATTTTTCATCTTGTTCAGTTTGGTCTCTCCCAATGATTTCCTTTGGAAATCTGCTCCGATCTGATATGATGGTCAACATTTTGTCGATGCAGCCTTCACTGCACCGGTGTGCAGCAGTTCGAGTCGCCACCTTTCACTCAGAACACACACATTAGGACGATGCCAGCACCTATAACTGGGCGGATCGGCATCAAGTATCTATTTCTCCGAATTTCACGTAGAGGCTTTGTGTTCAGCTGAAATCAATCGTTTCGAATTTGTTGTAGTGTTAACACACAGATGACAGCTGTTCAACACTATGGAGTTGAATTACTCAACACTGGAAAATCACTTATCTGACAGATCAGTCATTTGGATTGGACTTTAATATCCAGGTCATTCGAGTTCATCGAAATATCACAGTATTTTGTAACCAACGACAAGACTGATACATGAAAAGATTAGCTGTCTTCGATCATAGGTGTCCGCGTTCTATCTCCCGTGTGAAGTGGTATAATAAGGTGAGCAATATTGAGGTTAGGCGTCGAGTGCTAGGTAAGGCGGGGAAATCAATCGACGAAACGGTGAAATTACTTCGACTGAGATGGTTAGGACATGTGCTACGTATGCCTAGTCATCGCCTTCCTCGACGGGCAATGTTAGGTGATTTAGGGTCAGGTTGGAAAAGAGCTAGCGGCGGTCAAACGAAAACATGGCACCAATCAATGAAATCCACAACAGTTAATCTAAGCCACGTAGGAAGATGTAGACTTCCTGGTTGGGGCCCTCGGGACGGTAAAAACCAATGGTTGGAAACAATTGGTGACATGGCTAAAATCGTTCTCAGTGGCGCAGATGCATCCACTCCTTGTGACTTATGATTTCCAATGAAACTGTTTTCTTCTCCGTTATTACTATTCCTTTGTCTCACACCTCTGTTTATTGTCTATATTATGCATTTCTTCTACTTCCTTCTCTTGCTTTGCGTGCTACATAGATTGTGGCGACTTGAACTGCCGCACATATGTGCAAAGTTCTATGTCGAAAACCGACCGACTGATATATTTGGGTTGAAGTTAGTAGTATACCAGAGTAACCGAAAACGTACTTCTACGGTGTAGCAGCAATCTTTAGATTTCCATTTTCACAACATCTTATTGGTATTTAATCGATGTAGTTCACAAATTTGTGTTTGTCTTTATTCAGATAGACAATTTCTGTAGACGACAGACGATTAGTGGATCCCAAATAAGTCTTGTGATTTCCAACGGTACTTTTTATCGGGATGCACCACTCTTAGATTTGCTATTTTGCGGGCACACTTTGTAGAGGAACTATTTCAGATAATCTTGCACTATATCTTGACATAACTGAGACCACTTTTAACAGTAGTATTCCAATTTGTTCCATCTTGTAGAGAAACTCACCAACTTGTTTGATAACTTCAAGAATTGCAGCCCAATAGGGTGGTGATTAACTGACTGTCTTGTAACAGTTGATCATTACTCTTATATATAATCGCTTCAGTATAATTGACTATAATATCACTTGAACGCTGCAAGAACATACTTGCATTTTGCGTAGACAAAAAAAATAACGAGCCGAAGTGACTGAACTATATAATTTCAGCATGTGGAAACAGCATTGAAGAGAAGAGGACTAGTGCGGTCATACCTACATTTATCTGGACAAAACAATGGCGAACAGGCATGAAATATACCCTAAGGTGATCTCACTATAACCACCAAGTCATATCATTCATTCTTTAATGCACATGTTTCGTCCTTCACTCCTAAGGTTCTCTTCAGAGTTTTAATCACCTAGTCTGACATTCTGAAGTATTAACTGCGCTTTAATCAGATACAGAATCCCCTTGAAACGTACCAAACAAATCAAAAATAGGTGAAGTGATAAGATGACTACACTAATTGTGCAAACCTATCTGAAATGAGGTCAAGTCCGTGACTCAAGACAGTAAGCTTCGATTTCCGAATACCTACATTAACAAGCTAGTAAATGATTCGAACAATGAAAGTTGATATTCACAAATTACGAAAAGCAAGAATTAATAATCATATATGTTTATTTAAAATATTTTTTAATTTTCAAGATTAAATTTTCTTGAGTACGAGAAAGTTTGCACTATTTGTGCTTCTTGATAAGGTCTTCAACTTTGCTGATGTTAGCCCCGACAACTTCGTCCACTTTCTTAGAATCCTTAAGAGCAATGAATGTGGGCATTGCACTAATGTTGAATTTGGTTGAGGTACTCTGAAACGTAATGTGACAGAAAGTTAGGGTAGATTGAAGCGTAAATCAAAAATCGTAAAATTAGTGCATCAAGCGCTGTTTAACAACGAAGCAAAAGTATTTACCTCCAGTTTATCGACGTCAACCTTCACAAACACGACATCTTCGTATTTTGAGCTGAGGCTCTCAAACTGGGGTGCAATCATCTTGCATGGGCCACACCATGTGGCAAAGAAGTCCACTACAACCAGTTTTGACCCTGCTCCTTTGACTATATTATCAAACTCCTCCTATGAAACCAAGAAAGTCGTTTTGTTAGAAACAAATGTAAGGACATGTGAAGAAAAATTTCTTTGCATTGGATAGTACTTAAATAACCAGAAACAGCAACAAAAAACATAAGGTTGAGATAACTTCTACCCGAAAAGTGGTTATTTACCTTCTTGAGGAGATTCAAGTGCGCTTAAGTGGCATATACATACTGTATTCCAATTTACCATCATGATGCCTTCTAATTGGGAAATACCCCGTGAACAATGCAAACATAAATGAGAAACGTTACCGCAATGACCACCAGCCTGTCATAAAAACCAAGTCAACCAAATTTGTGCCATAAAACTTCAGTGTCAACGAAATACTGACACCGTACTGAAGTAAATAACAGTATCCAACAATCATTTTCAAAAGAACATCTGTCAGATTACGTCTACTCAGAATTTAATAAAAAACTCTAACGATCCAAAACAAACAACTTTAATAACGCACAGTCAATTTCTGTTGAAGACAGAATGCAGATAGAAAAGCCTACTTCGTCACTTGACGCTAGTAACTGTATTCGTCTAAATCACGATTGAGTATAAGAATAAATACCTATTACAAAACGCTGTATTAGCATCTTAAGCTGATCAAATTCTAGTTATCTGGTGCACAGCGATTCGAGTAAGTCTACTATCCTCAACGATTTGCAGAATACTCAGCAGACTTCAAAATGTCCTGCTAAAAACATACTCAGGTCGGACACTGACCACATTAAATCAACTTGAAAGTTAGTTTTTCTAACGGTTGCATGGTATGCCTCGATTATTAAACAGACATCGCTGTTGAAATATGTACATTTAGCTACTTACATATACGATTATAAAAAATGCTAATTTACATAGGTAGAACACACCCACTTACGTCTTTCTCCACGTGGTGAACTTTAGACATTTTTACAAGCGTCGTTTGCCACGGAAGTGTCACTGAAGATTTATATTTCTAACATCCAGTGACCTTCACTCCACCTTATATTAACAAATATTTGTACATTCCTTGAAAGCTTCAAATTTGAAAAGTTCTGGGAGGTGTTGTCGACAGTGTTATGTTTACCATACTCTGCTTAATGAAATCCAAGAATCACAAAGAATGTGTAGTGCAGAAAAAGGCAGTTCGCATCTCTCAGTAAAACAGTATTATTTACTGGATGACATTTCGAACAAAATTTATTGTTCATAATCATATCAGTTGTGATCTCACGACTTTGACACTTGAGTTTTATAGCTTTCTTTGTTTTCTCCTATTTGTTGTAGGGGCAGTAGAATTTTCCCGATATCTGGGACAGGTGATGAATCATTCCTATTACATGTATTTGTAGTTGATTCGATAAACAAAGCTTCTGTTATCAATCTCTCCCTATACCCTGTGACATTAGATTTTAAAACTGTCATCTTATCCCATCCAGCCTATTGTATGGTTGTCTGTGACTGCATGTAGTGCTATAGCTGAACTATTCTCTAGATTTCTTATCTTATTCGGGTCAACCAATCTAGATTATCCCGCTAGGTTTTTATGTTCAGCTAGTCTGACTGCCCCTGTTCTACTACTTTCACCTATGTATGTGACCTAACAACCATTCCAGCAGGGTATTAGATAGACCAAATTGTTTTGTTTTAAATGCTCTACAGGATCCTTTAGCCGACAAAGCTTGTTTCTAATTGAGTTTGTGGGTTTGAATGCCGTTTTTATTCCTGCCTTGTTAAGAATTCTGCGTAAGGCTGTCCCCGATATCTGGAAAATTCTACTACCCATACGACAAATAGGAGAGAACAAAGAAAGCTATAAAACTAAAGTGTCAAAGTCGTGTGATTACAATTGATATGATTATGAACCATAAATTTTGTTCGAAACGTCATCCAGTAAATAATGTTGTTTCACTGTGTGATATACCTAATAAACTAACTAATATGGAATTACTTACTACCACAGTGCCCAAGTTTTACACATATATTAGTTCGCATCTCTGTTATAGCACCCCAAAGTCATCGGTTCAACATTCAGATTCAGATTTATTGGTTGGGGATAGAAGGCTTGCAGCTTGTGTTAATTCTTTTCTAGTAAATTTCTGTGGTTTTCCTAACCCTTCTCGAATGAATCAGTTGAGGTTGCAGACACCACTGCTCCTGGGAGTCGGTTCCAAGTGTCTATGACTTGGTGTGAGAACCAGTATTCAACAGCAGTATGATTTCTCCTTGGCTTTTGAAATCTCCTGCTATGTCTTCTAAGGTGTTCCGACCTGTTGGGAAGGAAGAGGGAGAATAGGAATGGAACATATAATTGCAGAACGGAGTTTAGTTGAGTCTGAATAGACGAATCAAGCTGTAATCAAAAACTAAATAAATACTTGGGTGATAACCATGAATTGTCTTTACAAGTTTGTTACTCTGTTGTAAAGCTGAGAATACTGAGGATGAGTTGCATTCGAAAAACTTTTTTCCATTGTCTGTCTTCCCGCTAAAGCTTATTTCGCCCACCAGTACTCGTGAAGAGTTTGTGTGGCTAAGTAATGAATGTCTCGCCAAATCTGAGCAGAATAATTCAGATATCCATCCAAACGGTTCAGCGAATGGACTCATTTTTAAGTAATTTATCATCATCATATATATGATTTTTGAATAGCAGAATAAATTACTACAAAATATAGTTGGTAGTTATCATATTATATTATCTCAACGCCTGACCACTGACATGTCACTATGTTAATGTGTCACTACCAACCCCTAAAACACGCATCTTGCTATGACAGTAACAAAGGACGTTTTCGCTGGACTCCTTCTGTTTTAAACCTCGCTTAAAATCCAGGTGAATATTTTCACTACCGCCATAAGGAGAATTCGCTCACAAACCACAGTCCTTTCTTTAGTACAAACATTACAATATCAGATTCATGCTTGGAGTCTTAAAACCTATGCTGTGTCAAATTTTTAACTGACAAGTAGGCTATGCATGTTGGGAATTTATTCAGTTTTTTAACTACTGTCCCATTATATATACTGAAATATAGCAAATCACTGCTGGACGTGTTTGTACATTCAATTTTCCCATGTGAATAGTTTTCAACCTCAAGTTAACCAGTTGTCTTATTCAGATGATCCAAAGTTAAAACCGTCTAAGAATCAGAGTGTCAATATTAGTTTCTAGAGTGATTCAAGCTTGTGTAGTCCACTGTAATCCCATTAAACCAGTGTAGTCGGCTGTATCCATGAACAAAATAAACAGAATATTAGTGAATTCGGCATCAGTTACTTTTCAATCCTTCGTTGGTTGCCCAGTATCCTTCAGATTCTCTAGGCGCTTACATTTGACCAACTATACGAGGGTTTGAGCGTATCTGGAATAGGCCAATCTCCGTTTCCCAGTTTAATAATTCGTTAATTCTAATCGTTCTCCCCCCACCTTTCCATGCACCAAGCTTCTGGCATATTGTGTGGGAGCTGAACGTCTGCAAGCAGGGTTAGTGATGCAGGTTCAATCGATCTAAGTCACACTGTTATTGATGGACATTTCAATCCCTTGAAGCAACAGGTCGTCAAGTCGGACACACACTCCCGTTCTTCTAGTTAAAAACTAGGGCCTTTTCCCTCAGAAATCATGCTGTTGGACAAGGTTTTGGACTTTGCTGAGGCCTATGTAATCTGTCAAAGTTTAGAACAAAAGTGCGTTTATATGAAATCCCAATTCACCTTCGCCTACAAATGCCATCTACTCAGGTGCGCTCTGCTTCAGTTTTCATATTCCAGACCTCATATTTATTAGTTAAGGATAAAAGGCTTGCAGCATAAGTTAATTCTATTCTAATATATTGCTGTGGTTGTCCTAACTCCTCTTGAATAAATCAGTTGAGCCTGCAGTATGATAAATTCTTGGCTTTTCAAAATCTCCTCCTATGTCCTCTAAAGTTTTGCGACATCATGGAAAGGAAAAGAGTAAATAGGGCAGGTCCGCAGTTCTTAGAAATTTTAAGGGATTGTAATTGAATCTCTCTGTCTATGGTATGACAAGGTAAAGAGATCTAGTCTGTCAAGTCTTTCAGCGTATGATATGTTAGTCATACCGAGAATCATACGTGTTGCCTTACTTTGAACCGTCTCCAGAGTATGTGAGTCCCTTTTAAGACAAGGACTGGCCGCCCGGACAGAGTTTTCCAGTCTTGACCTCATCAGAGATGTATACAAGGAGGTGGATATATTTCTGGTGATCCTAGTAAAGGCTCTGCGAACTGCGCATAAAGATCTAAAACTACGTACAGCCACCATTCGACAGTGTGCTGTAGTTTTTGAATCGTGACTTACTGTGACACCTAAGTCAAAGTGAGTCTGAACTGATGGGGATTTTATTTCCCCTAGTTTGTAGGAGCTGATGCTTGCGTGTCGATGCGCATTGTTGCACATTCTGCTACATTGATCGGGAGCATCCATTCTCTGAACCACTCTAACAATTTGTTAAGGTCCTTTTGCAACGTGAGCGTATCACTTATAATAATAATAATAATCTATATGTCGTATAAATTGGTGTTTACAAGAAATGCACGCCATTTTTACACGCACGATCGGTTGTGTCATCAATTGCAATCCTGAAGGTCTAAATTGTTCAATTATTGTACAAGCAATCAGAGCAGGTTCTAATTAATGTTAAATTGTAAACCCTTCACTAAGATTACTGTCGAATTTGGGCAATAACCTAAAACTTCGGTCCGGTGCCTGTTGACAGTTAGGGTCAACCAGTGAACAGCGTATATTTGGGTAAGTGATGTGTCGCCACGTGATTAAACGGCTATTTCAGGAAGAGGAGAACGTCCTGGGAAACTGCAAAATGGCATAAAATACAACCAAGGACAATACAACATCGGATGTACATATGCAAGATATATATTAGAAGGAGGTAGGGACTCCTTGGAATGATATACATTCGCAATGTTCAACGCCAACCATATTAGTTTGGGCATGGAAACATTGAGGTGTTCGATGAAAATATGGCTTTGTTCAAACACTGGTGTTGTTGTGTTTTTAATCAAAGCAACGAGACTTTGGGCAAGCAACAAATATGAACAAAGAGTAAGTTGCAGCTTCAATAAAGGCATAGGTAGTTAAGATCAGATAGAGTATAATAGTGCGTAAATAAAAAAGTTATCGTGCGAAGTGAATTCAAAGATCTGGACGATTACTACCCGTAGGACAAGCTGACCTGTAAGATGTCTCACGAAGCTGTGTAGGGCGCAATGAGTAGCATCTTGACAAGAAGCTGAACAGGCTTGTAGATGGTAGGAGCAAAAGCACTTTTTTATTTATAATCAGATCTGTACAACCCTTATTATTATTTTTTGTTGAGGGTCCAGACTGATGTTTGATTCCCGAGCTGTCAAAATGCATGTTGCTGTCCTGCAGATTGGAGCGATTCACATTTGTGACCACTATCATATCTGCTAATCAGCATGCGCCACCCTCCCTCCTTTTTGATGTTATGCTCTGAGGTTATTTTGCAGTAACTGTAGTTGCAGCATTGCGTCGCCTCTAGCCCGTCTCAGTCATACAGTATGCTGCACATTAATAGCTTTCATGACAAGCGCCTCCCCAGATATATCGATACCTGAGGACATTCTTAGCAGTACCACCTTTATACATGCATACATGTAGATAAGTATTTGTTACAAACGACTGGGAAATTGAGTTTAATTTAAGAAGTATAAGGTGTAGAAGTAGATAGTATTACAGCAACTAAGTTAGTCTATTTAGCAGATTTAAATGGGTAGTGGAACAATTAGTGATAAGATTATGAAGAGTGATTCTGAATGAAACAGCTGCTTAACAGAACTAGTTATGCCAAATTTTCATGGCCTATTTTCATACTGTACGCATTAGACATTGCGAAGTAACCCTTCAGCTTAAATAATATTTAAAAAATCTCTCGTTATATCCAAGAAGCGTAATGTTCCGGAGTCGTTAGGACAGATCAAGGTATGAAAGGTTCCGTTACTTGTGCGTAAAGTTGTATAAACTGATCACATGCGGCTCCCACTTCTGACCTTGGCTTAATGTAACAGTTCAGTCAGTTGGCTGCTGAGACGATCTCATTTATATCAGCTTTTCCAACGTTTGTTCGAGCCGAGGTTTTGGCCCAGTGAGCTTGACAGTGAGCACAGCGTGATCACTTCTTCCTGAAGGGGGAAGATGTTGTATGAGATCCACATCCTCACCATGGGAGAACACTAGGTTCGGAGTTGAAATGAGTGCTGTGAGTGGACTTCATGACATGTTGAACTAGGGCTAGCGACATGCTTGATTCCAACAGTTTATGATCAAAGGAGTTATCTGAAGACGGTGTCCTAAGACTTGCCTAGTCAACTGTTGGAGTATTGTAGTCATCAACTACGAAACTTAGACACTTCGATGTCCAGGAGGCTAGCTTTTCTATTAAGAAGTCGTCTGCACTACAGCTAGGACTGCGGTATAGAGCAACGGAGTCAATATCTTGGCCTATGCATTTAAGGATGCAGTGTGGAAGGTCCCACGATTTACCCTCGTGAGCTATTGATTCGATGCTACTCATGGCTAAGCATTTCTTTAGGTAGATGACAACGCCACCACCTTCGTGGCTCACTCGGTCCTCCGTACACACTTTGAAGTTTGGTAAGTCAATTTTGTTGTCAGTGAAATCGGGTGTGAACCATGTCTTTGTGGTGATAGTTACATCCGGATTTCCGGAGTCTATCATATTATGTAGCTCAGTTTATTTGTTCAACAGGCTGCGGGCGCTTGTGTAGCGAACTGTCAATTCAGTGGTTTCCAGATCATCAAACTTCTAACTCTTAATTTTAAGGTTCTCCTCGCCGTTTTGGCGTCCTTCACTTAATTATAGAGCTGCAGACTGGTTTTTGACGCGGTCTGCTGCGAAAATGTCGGCACGGACCTACATGCCTGATCCTTTTAGAGTTTGTGAGTTGCTCATAATGGCATTCCTATCTTCTTTTGAGATTGGCACGACTTTGAGAAGGCTCACCGTCTGATTAACTGTAGAGTCAGGTCTCTGGCCGACTATATTAGCTATGTATGGTTATGTCTGATACTGTTTTCGGCAATAGCTAATCTAATAGGATCCTTTCAGGGAATAGGCACAACACTGTTACTCAGCGATTCCTTATGATAGGCATGCTTTTCAAAGTTAATTGGGACAAAAGTTTTAGATTATTATTATTTCCTTAAGTTCCTAGAGGAACATAGGGCTTCACCCATGCGTCTCCATTGCGTTCGTTCTCTGCTAGAGTCTTCACCTGGCTCCAAGTCTGCCCATACGCTTTCAATTCTTCTTCACATGATCTCCTCCAGTCACCCTTGGACGACCAACTCGTCGCTTCCCTTTAGAGTTCCACACGAGCAATGGCTTGTCTAGTGATGTCACTTGCTGGTTTCCTCAGAGTGTGGCCAATCCATCTCCATTTCTTCCTGCCTATTTGTTTCACGATCGCTTCCTAGTTGGTTCGCTCCCAGAGATCTTTGTTGCTGATCTTTTCTAGCCGGCCATTTGATCTTGAGTATTGAGCGAAGACATCTGTTAATGAAGGTCTGTAGCTTGTTTGAGGTGCTCTTTGTGACACGCCAAGTCTCTGATCCGTATAGTAGTACTGACTTCACATTGGAGTTGAAAATCCCGATCTTATTTTTGACGCTGAATGTTGTTGACCTCCACACAGACTTGAGAGTAATGAAAGCTTGCCTTGCTTTCCCGATCCTTGCTTTGATATTCTCGTCAGTTCCGCCTGTAGTTGAAACCATGCTTCCCAAGTAGGTAAAGGAGGTAGTTCCTTTCAGGTTCCTTCCATTTATGCTGATTGTTGTCTGTTGTTGTCGCTGTGGCTGTTGGTGTTGGCCAGGAATCTTCATCACCTCCGTTTTCTCTATGTTCACCTGGAGTCCTATCCTTGATGCTTCTTCTGCCAACTTGTTACTTTTCACTTGCATATCTTCCACTTTGTGGGAAATCAGACATATCATCGGCGAAGTCCAGATCCTCCAGGTTCTTTTTTGTGTGAGTCCATTCTGTGCCTGTTTCCTCATTGCCCGCCATCTGTCTGTCGCATTATCCAATCTACTGCAATCAGGAAAATCATTGGCGATAGTAGGCAACCCTGTCTTACTCCTGTCTTCACTTCGAAGGATTCCGTGAGCTTCCCGTTGTGGATTACTTGTCATGCAGCATTGTCGTACAACTGTTGGATGAGATGTATAATTGTCGGTGGCACCCCGTAGTAGCGAAGTAGTTGCCAATTCACCTCTCGATCGACGCTGCCGTAGGCCTTTTCAAAGTCGATGAAGTTGAGTGAGATAGAGAGAGACTGCCATTCCATGCTTTGTTCAATGATGATCCGTAGTGTGGCGATTTGATCAATACATGACTTGTTTCTCCTGAATCAGGCCTGATCCGGCCGAAGGTTTTCATCCAGGGCTTGTTTGATGCTCTCCAGAATGATGCGGCTTAGCATTTTGCTTGGGATGGACAGGAGCATAATTCCGCGCCAGTTCTTGCATTGACTTAAGTCTCCTTTCTTTGGTAGCTTGAATAAGTATCCTTTCTTCCAATCCTCGGGTACTTTGCCTTCTTTCCACACCTTCTCCAGTAGTGGCGTCATCAAGTCCGCTGTTGTCTCTGGGTCCACTTTCAATGCTTCTGCTGGGATTCCATCTGGTCCTGCTGCTTTTCCAGCTTTCAGCATCTTGATTGCCTTCAGGACTTCTGGTTTCGTCGGGGGGTTGGTGTTCACTGGTAATTCTGCTTCCGTTGTTGGTATTGTTGGGCGCGTTGTAGGTGGCGGTCGGTTTAGTAGTCTTTTGAAGTGTTCAGCCCAGTGTTTCCTTTGCTCCACTTCTTTGGTGATTGACTTTCCATTTTCATCCTTCACTGGCTTAATTTGTGACGAATTTTTGCCTGAGAGGTACCTAGTTGTTTGGTAGAGTGTTGCGAGGTCTCCTTTGCCTGCAGCTTGTTCTGCTTCATTGGCCATGGCTTCATAATACTTTCTTTTGTCTTCTCTGGCACTCTTCTTTACTCTTTTGTTCAGTGTCTTGTAGCTTGCATTCAAATCCTGTTTTTGTTGCTCGTCGGTGCACTGGAGAATCTTTTGTTTCACCATCCTTCTCTCCTCTATTAGCCTCCAAGTGTCCGTAGTGAGCCACGGTTTGTCCTGTCTCTTCTTTCTGCTCAGAACTTCCATGCAGGTTTCGCTCCATACCGCTTTCAGGTTGTCCCAGTGTTTTTCGACGCTGACCTCTTCGCTAATGTTGATTTGTGTCTCAGCTTTGTCCAATATGCTTGCAGTAAAGATATCCTTTGTATCCTGGTCCTTTAGTTTTTGAGTGTTGAACTTGGCTTGTGGTCTATCTGCAGCTCCTGTTTCTCTGAAAGCTTTCAATTTGAGTTGGATTGTTCCTTGTATGAGGTAGTGGTCTGAGCCAACGTCTGCTCCTCTTCTTGCTTTTGTGTCCACTATAGATAAATCAGTGATGAAAAAACCAATGAGTGTACAAAAAGGGATATATGTACAACTATTAGGTTATTAGAACACAACTTCCTATGATTAAATAGACTCAAAACTGAAAATTTAAATAACTTCAATCAGAAAAAACAGATATAAAGTAAATCTGTTGACTTTTGGAGCGTTTAACACAATAAAAGCCGGAATTAAATAACAGCGTATAAAATTCACTACTTTTTCGAAGTTCGCACGTTAAAATATCTTAGTTTTCGTCGTTATTCTGATCCGTTATTAGTTGATATGAGATTCAAGTAATTGTATTACGAGATAATTGTTTTAGTATTTTTCAAGTTGTTTGCGACGTTTAAGTGCACCTCTGCGCGGGTAGTTTGTTTGTCGAGTCTTCACGCCTACATAACTGCCGTAGTGGGTTACGAATAACATGGCAATCAGACCGTTGCATCATCCTAAGATCATCAAAAAACATCACAAAAAGTGGCATAGACATCATAGTGACTTGTACAAAAGGCTGGGAGACAAATGGAGAAAGCCAAGGGGTATCGACAACCGAGTTCGCCGTAGATTCAAAGGTCAGGTGCGTATGCCGAAAATCGGTTACGGTTCAGCAAAACGAACTCGTCATATACATCCCGATGGCTTCAAGCACGTCATTATTCACAACATAAAGGTTAGTTTGGTTTTTTCTAATTCTAAAGTTCAGGAGTTGGAGGTCCTTCTAATGCAACATCGGTCACATGCTGCTGTAATCGCTCACACTGTAGCAAGGAAGAATCGAGTCAAGATTGTTGAACGCGCTAAGCAACTCAGCATAAGGGTCGTTAACGCCAATGCAGGATTAAGGTCCGCTGAGAATGAGTGAGTATGCAATAAAAATTGGTATGATCAAAACCGACTTTTGATGATCTCTTAAGTCAGGGTTGTTCAGTCAATTGTCGTATGAAAGTAGACCGATACTCATACATTAGGCTCTTGCAATGCTTTCATTAATATCTGCTAAACTTGTTGCGTATTGTTCCTGACATTCGTTAGTAACATATTATGGACTTCTCCACACAGGACCACTTTCCTGACATGCACGTGGTGTGTCAACTGGACTGACCCGAGGAGCTAATATGAATGATTATGCGTGAGTTGCGTATATCTCTAGCCGTGGTATAACCGTACGTTTAACATTTAGCCATCTGAAAGCATATTGTTCGACGATAAGTGGAGCGGTATTAATCAATGCATATGTCCTTGTAATGTCCACTTCGAGTGAAATTGCGTATAGACTGCATGGATTAGTGACACGCCCTAGACCTGTACTGAGCTGGTGTAAACTAGTGAGACCATTCATTTTTATTGCTGGGTTACATTTTTTGTAAGATGCTCGTCAGACTTGTCGTTTTTGAATTATTCGAGTTAATTAGTCAAATTACCTCTGCTAACGTGACACGATCTCATCACAAGTGAAAACGTCGCATGCAGTACCAATATTTAGATTTTATAGCAGACTGACATCAGTTATAGAGATCGTTTAAACTCAGAAAGGCAGTGGGTAACTTTAAGTTTTGGAGTTGTTTGGATTGTACATACAGTCTTTTGAGGGTCTCGTTAGTTTTGTCTGGCATTGCATTCAGGATCATATCATGTTTACTTGCCTCAGACCAATATAAATGTAGTACTTCTGACTGTCTGTCATAATGGGATGCACCCAATGATATTGAATGACGTGCAACATTCAGGATAGGCAGCAAGTAAGAAAGACATTCGAATTTCCACAGTTGGTGAAGTCGGAAGCTAGTATTTGAGGCAAAAACTTTTTCACTAATCATTACGTTTTCCGTGAACAAATATATAGGTGTGCTTTCTAACGGATTACTTCGAGTTTCTTTACGTTTTTAAAAAGGCATTATGTTTCTTTATTAGTTTGTTTATTACACAGTGTACATCTAATAAACAAACTAATATGGAACTACTTACTACTCCAGTGCCCAAGTTTTGTACATATATTAGCATGATGTTTCTGTTGTTAAACTGACGTGAAATTTGTATGCACTCCTGTCATTCCGCGAAGCATCAGCTCATGAGCCACAGCTTCCGTTTTACATTAATCGTGGCAGGTATTCTGACGGCGTCATTCATCCTTTAGGAAACTAAATTTCTCAAACTTGGAGTACGGGCAGCTAACACAACTTTTAGTCCTGGAGCAAATGATAATCGTCATGGTGTGGTACAACATTTGTCATTATAATGAGTTCTAAAGTTTTGAGTTGATCACGTTAGTTCAGTCAGTGACTGAGAAGATCTGTTTTCGTCTGAACCTCAATGTCCAGGTTCCCCTTGAATTTTGCTGGTAACTAAGCTTTCCACTGTACATTGGAAGGCTGAGGTAGCTGTCTTTATTCACTTCCATCACTTCGCTGTTTGAATGTCATGCATTGTGTATTCATTTATGTGACATTCAATATAGTTGACAGTGCCTTCAGAAAAGATCTAGATTGTCATTCTGTCAAACCTGACCAAGAGTGATTTAATGCTCCATATTTTAAGTCAACGATAGCCAGTCACATGACGAAATGCATTTATTCACTAATTCTAGGGAAGTCTCATAAGTAGATCGTGTATTTGTTACTGGGGAAATTTTGGCAATTACTAGGGTTAAGTTTGTCGTCAGCACCGTCGAGATATCAGGCGTCGAGTCAAAGGACTCCTTGACCTCACAACTTTTGGTTTTGCATTAGTTTATAGCTATGAGACTTCTCTGTCGAAAGGTAGATGAAATGGTTGCTAGTTTTCTACCTAAATAAGCAACCGTTTTATTTTTTTGCTACTTTTTAACTCATGGAAAATTCCAATGGTAAAATATAGCAAAACCGGAACAAGAAATTCATCGAATAGACTCAATACAACGAATTTATTATCAAGCTGTACAATCGTATGTATATAGTTTTTTTTGAGGAGTAATATCCCGTGAGGGAATTGAATCATAGGTGTGAATGCATGAACTAATAATAGCATGGAATGCAATTAAAATATTTGATTATACTCATAGTTAAACGTCAAGCGGCAAAACATTTCATAATATTATTATTTGATGCATTCACACCTATGATTCAATTCCTAAAAAAGCCATGTATATGCGGTTGTACAGCTTGATGATAAATTCGTCGTAAGGAGTCTGTTCGCTGAATCGCTTGCTTTGATTTTGATTTCTTTTATTCGGAGCTACTTGGATAATTATACTTTGTCTGGGGAGAGAGGTTAGTGTATGAATCTTCACGGAGCCGTGCAGCGCATGTAAGCATGGTGGCTACCAGTTTTGTTCGGAGTTAGGCCAAAGTTGAATACAGATGAGGATAGACTATTCGGATGTCACAAATGAATGGTTTGTTTATGTAAATTATTCGGAAATTAATCGATTAGTTACCTACCTGTTTGGAGTCGTAGGATATGTGAGAATCGACTACAATTCTCAGTGAAATTATCCAAAACCTTCACTATGCTATATTTTCTTTCGTTAATTTTCTGGTTAGTCTTAGTTACATTAAATTAGCTAAGGAACACTTTACCTTTTTAGCTTTTGGTAACGTTGTAGGTACTCAGTAAATATTTTAGGAGGATTCCATTATTGGTTTGGACATGATCTACAAACACTGAATGGAATGAGTTGATTTGTGTTAATTATTCCGTCCTCATTTCAATTGAGGCAGTCTTGTCGGAAGCTAAACTTACCGGGATTCTGTTCATCAACAGCAATGAAGTAACCGTTTAGTTCTTATATTGTAGGCTTTAACATTTGATGTAATTCATAAATTGGGAAGATTCACAGTCTTAAAACACTTTGGAAGACGTGATTGTTTACGTTAACACTCGTGCCTATGTTATGTAGATAGTGTTTGAATCCGGAGACAGCGTTGCAAGTTTTCATCTGATTTTGAACTGCTAATACTGTTCTCAGCGACTTTATTTTAAACGGTGTAATCCGACAATGCAACCTATATTGGTTGTACTGTGAATGTATGCGGTAATGCTCAAGAAACCTATGAATTCTGGAGAATGTAATGTGTGCTTTGGAATTTCTGGGCATAGCCTAGGCACTAGCCATCCGAAAACTTGAGCCCACGCTATGTATCCAAAAGAAAAACGTTCAGCCCTTGTCCTTGCGGTAGCCATCATAAACAGGTAATTTTTTTCAATAGTGACTATCCCATTGACTTTCTTATCCAAACTTCCTGTTTATTCATATTGGTTTCAAGTTTTTCTCAACCCCTATTTACACTACCATATTTTCGTATTCGAACTTCCTGTCTATTTTGTCACTTTACTATTTCTACGTATTTGAACCCTAACTGCATAAACAATTATTCGTCACATTAGTTATGATCCCACTAGTTTTTTTTCCAAACATTCTGTCTATTGTTGTTATTTCTACATTTCTGACCCCCAATTGCACAAAATGTCAATCTTCTCAGTAATTATGATGCTACTGTGTCTGAGCTTTATCCATCCCCCTGTTTTTTTTATGGCATTTTAGTTGCTAATTGTTATTTTATTAATCTGACCCTTGACCAGAAATTATTCTGGAACTTTCCTACCCATTTATTTTAAATGCATGCATGTACAGCCGAGTTGATGATTTCGTCGAACAGAAAATTTTCTTCGCTGCACCTGTCTTTTTATTCCCTGTGAATTTCTATTTTACTACATTTACGTTTAAACTTACAGTGAAATTTTAGTAGAAGTTAAATTGAGTATATTAGAATTCACAGGTATCTTTAGAACTCGTAAATGCATTACTTCGCGCACACACCCACACACGAAACTAGTGCAGAACTAATATACAAAGCGTAAATAGATGCAGGCTAGCATGACCCCAAACGTGGAGGCAGAGTATTATAACGAAGCAAGTGAGTAAGTATAGAGGCTGGAATTTGATTGATATTCAAGTTGAGTACAGAAACAATATGAAATCGTTTAAGATACTTCGTAAAATTTCCAAATTAAGGACAGGAAAATAAATAATACAGCATTGTTGAATTCAAATGTTTTGTCTGTGAATACGGTTAGAACTGTTCGAAGCGAATCACAGTAGCTCTGTTCTGTTAATCTAAAGTGTCGAATGAAATCCAAGTATCACATTTGCGAGAGAGAGAGAGAGAAAATAAAACATATAACTTCGACTTTGGTCCTAGCTATTCTAGAATTTTTCTGTTACTTGTATAATCGTACTGTTGAACATATTACAATATAATCTGTCACAACAACTGCGAATTCAGTCATTCATTTCCATGGAACTGATAGACTTGTAAAAATATACCGGTGTAGATTTTGTCAGAATTTAGCAGTGCATAAAAAATTTAACGTAACAGTTGTGAATTGGCCGCATGTTTTTGTCCATGCAACTGAATTCACGTGTTAAAACAGTGAAACAGTTTTGTTTTGTTCTTCGTCATAATTTTATAATACTGGCAGTTTCAGATATCTGGTCATCCATTGTGCAGTCGTCTGTTCCATCCTTTTTATGACTTTGAGGCACGTGGCCGTCGAAAGTTACAAACCTGAAAACGTTCGCCGCTGATGTCTGTCTCTATCGTTTTAGCTAGTATATATTATGGTTGGTAATAATGAAATCGGGCATGTAGAGTGTTACGTAAGCAAGTAGATCAGTCGATGAGGTTGTGGGGATGGACAGCACATGTGTTGCGCTTACTGCGATGTCACTTTGCTAGTTGAACTATTTTAATAATAATAATAATTTGCTTTACTCCAAAATAGTACTTGTGATACAGAATGGAATTCTCAGCATTTCATTACAGTATTGCATCCAGTTAGTACATTATCAATAAAATAAAATTCTACATAGATTAAGGAAATCTCAGTTCATTATGACAACAACCTATTGGC